ATATACCACACAAACAAGCATGCATGATGCATCTAATAATGAAAAGAAAACTCAAACTCTCTTACTCCATTCCTAAGGGTACTAATCAGAAAGATCTTCCTCATTTCTTATTTTCTTTGGAAAATGTTTGTTAGGAGTTTTTTATTCTTAGTGTGCTTGAGAATTCCTCGATTAGCTATATTTATAAGAAGAAGAAAAAATTATGAAATAAATAAATTATTTGAAACAACAACTTAAATTTGTAAATATCTTTTTAAAATATAAGCTATTTTTTGTAAATCTAAAAATTTGAAATATATAATTATTTTTTAATAACATTTTTCTTAAAAATACTAATTTATAAAAAATGATTTTTTTTATCTAAATGAAATTAAATAGTTCAAAATCATTTTCAGTAAATTTGTCTAAACAAAAGTTCACACTAGTTATAATCGATAATTTTCATAAATTTTCCGAACACATCTCATACATGTTAAATATGGACTTCGATTCTTTGCATTCAAATAGCTTCTTTTAAGTTCAATTATTTTTTGTTTTTGAGGTTCCCTAAAAATCATTTCTTTGCAAAACATTGCAAAGTCTTGCCCTTGTCCTTCAATAAAAATTCAATTGACTACTTTTTGTTGGCGTACTTTACTCTAAATTTGTGAAAAATGTTAGATACGTAGTTAGTAGAATCAGAGATGAAAGTGACTGTTCTACGAAGACATAGCCACATAGGAATGGTGGTTGTACTTGTAGGGTACCCTTGTCTATGGAGGAGACAACAGTATATAATACATATCACGTGGCAAGACCCAATTTTCATTATTTGAAATTTTTTGAACTGAAACAAACACAAACACCAACACATTACATTCTATTATGCTCCGAACTTGGTAAATGGTACGTGTGTTTTGAGTTGGATGCACAGTTTTCCGCAATCTATGGAGGCAAATAGTCAACTTTTCCAAACCCAATTTTCTATATTTCAACCCCAATATTTATATGTAAGAATTTTGAAATCCATTACGGATGCCTATTTTATTTTTAAGAAACAATTATTTTTTAATCATGAGATGTGTTGAAAAACTATGATAATCATATAAATTAAAACATGTTTAAAAAATAGTTTTGTATTTTTCTTATAAGTTAAAATAATTTCGAGAAAACTTTAAAAATAAATGTATTACAAAATGGCTTTCCTTTAAAAAAAAATAGATAAACTTTTTTTTTTAAGATCATAAAATAAGTTTATAACTATGATAAAGGCAACCATAAAAGTGGTCTGTTTGAAATTTATTATCCTTTGGCTTATAATTTATTTTTATCGCTATTCTTCATCTTTCCCCTTTTTTTTTTTTTTTTTTTAAAGAATAATGATGGAAATCGAAGTGGATTTTTATTTTTGAGTAAAATATATACTTGGTTTCTCTAAAATTTTCAAAATTCAATTTTAGTCTTTAAAATAATTTATATTATTTTAGTTCTTCTAATTTGATAATATATTACTTTTACTGTTTAAAATAGTTTAGATAATGCTTAAAATAAACTATACATCACTATCTAAACTATTTCATGAATCAAAAGTAATACATTTCTAAATTTTAAAAAAAAATTAAGAGACTAAAATTAAATTCAATTTGTTTTATAACAAATAAAAAAAACATATTTTACCCTTTTATTTTTTTCTTCCATCTTCACCTTGTTCTATTTTTTTTCCTATGAACGTGCTTAAGGTCACCAATGCGCTGAAGAATCATCAATGGTTAGACCAATAATCGAGTTTAGTGCAATTCAACAGAGTGTCACTACTTTTCAAAACCCTCTTTATAAATTGAATTAGGGGTGATCTTGAAAAGAAAAGAAAAAAAGACTATGACTTGATCAATGTTTATTATATAAATGACCCTTACATTAAGTTTGATTATCTTGAATACATTAGTTTATTCTTGAAACCTAAGGTTTGAACGTAATTTATTGAAAGAATTTATTTTTCTCCTCCAAAAAGTTATTGAAAAGGCTAAACTAATTTAAAAGTATATTTTATAATAGTTTTTTTTTATGAGGATAACAAACTTATGTTTAAATAGGAGAATTAATTTAAATTTAAATACAAACTAACGATTTGAAGTATTTAATAAGTTAAATATATAATTTTATATATCACAACATAAAATTAATATAATAAAAATATCATTATTCTATTATTTATATTTATTTAAATAAGTTAACTTTTTAGACTTAGGAAGCTTTTTACATGGCCTAAAATTAAAAAATAAAAAAATTGTCTCAATACACTTTTAAAAAGTTATTACTTAAGGTGATTAAATTAATATATTAACCTTTTAATTAATTCAAATTAGGTTTTCGGAAAAAAAAAAAGTATGTTCAAACACACCTGAATCATAACAATTAATTTGGCGATATTAAATTTAATTAAAAATTTATCAATTTATATTTTTAAATGTTTACAGATACTTCAAATTTTTCATTACACTTCGAGATACTTAGTTATAATAATAATAATAATAATAATAATAATAATAATAATAATAATAATAATAATAATAATAATAATAATAATAATATTTATAACTGTGAACTCAAACATTTATACATTCTTAATTTACTAGGTTAATGAAAAATTTTATCAATCATAGTAATTCTATTCTGTTCAAAATACAATTGTTTTTAGTAGACATGTTATTTATAAAATAAAAATTATATTGAAGACATGTTCCATCTCAATTAACCCCTTATATTTTTTAAAAAGAAGTAACGTATATAATGGTGAAATCAAGAACTTTACTTAAGTTTGAAAAATAATTAAATTTATTAAAGGTAAAACTTAACCAGACTTATCACATTTTCCTTGGTAAGTTTTAATGGTGTGAAGTAGTTTAAATTATCGTCTCAATCACATTATTAATCGGATAAACAACACAACAAAATCGTTTGGAATTAAGATGTTCTCTATTTTTGGTTTATTTCTATAGTTTAAACTATATAAATGACATTAAATGTTTATTATAAAAAAATATCAATGTTATTATTTATACACTCTAAACTTTAATAATGAATAAAAAAAATAAATTATTAGGGTTAGCCTAGTGGTTGGATGGGGAGGGATTGGAGTAATTAGAAGTATGAAGACCTAGGTTCAACCCTCATTGTGATCATCTTTGTAATTTTTCCTATCTTTATCCGTTCAAAAAATGAAAAAGAATTTGTTGTATCACTCTAAATAAATGTAAACATCTGTTTTTAGCTTCAAATTAACCATACAGCTTACTCCTTTTCTTTTTGCCTTTCAATTGTTTTTTTTTCCAGTCCAACTTCATTTACATGCAAGTTTAGATATTCATAGTTGATCATGTAGTCGAAGAGAATATTTGTTAAAAGTTGTGTTCATATGCCGCGAAAGGAATCTTGGTTGCAAAGTCAACAGAAAACAGAATTTCAAGAAACTACAACGGATTTGACTATTTGTTGAAAATATTTTTAGATCGGATTCCACAATCAATTGATTCGATTTAATTTATAAATTATTTATTTTTAATTTTTTTAATTAGATTTGTGATTATTCGTAACCAAATTATTAATGATTAATTGTGTTTAAATTTCTTGCACAATCCAAATTGAAAATCTCTACTGATACTAATGAAAAGACACTTGGTAAAAAAAATAAATACTTTTTAAAATAAGTTGGTAGTTACTATTATTTGAAAAGTAGTTGTTATTTTGAATATGCATTTTTTTCTTCTTATTTTACCCTTAGATATGTTGACAAAAAAAAATTAGAATACAAATATGAGAATATAATTATCTTTGAAAAAGTGGACATAAAAAAATATCTTTTATATATTGTTATAGATTATATTGATTAGAGTGAAATTAAGTTTTGATCTCTTAAGTAAAATTTTGATTATATATATATATATATATATATATATATATTAATGGAG